ATTGCTATCAAATCAAAATCAAAATATCTTAACTCTCCGGTAAATTAATGATAGTTAACATATCAGTCTGCATTCAGACGCATGATTAAGTACAAATGTTGACGTTTTGTGTATTGAGGTGCAGGAAAGGAAAATCCACCAAACCATACGTCATCGCGGCAAAATGTCAAACAAAATATCTCCCTGCAGTTCCAATACAATTTGCATTTCAAATAACAATTTAATTTTTATATGTCATATGAGCATTTTTACGTAAAGTTTACACTGATTTTTTTTTCTTTGAAAGTCATGGAGATACGAGAAATGATAGCATGTATCAAAAAATCTGTAGATAAGAACCTTCGCGAGCCCCAAGTGAATGAGATCCTGTTTCTTCTTCATCCAACGATTATATTATCCCCAAACTAAATTTTTGTCAGGAAAGTTGCTTTTTAATTCCCAGCCCTATTTTTGGTTTTGTCTTTCGTTTTGGTCGACTTTGTCAATGTAGTAGGCCTAATGTAGCGGGGCTTCCCTCTCTTACCATGCTGTTTTGTTTATATAAACTATGCACATTTGTGTGTAGCATGGAATGTAGAACCTCGAACACGTTGCAATGTATATATTTAAGGACCATAAATAATTATTAATTTTAATAAAATAATCAGAATTATTTACTTATGAAATTTGTAATTTTCTGAAAGCGTATACATTTTTGAGTATGAAAAGAATTCCAAATCCTACAGGATTGAAACACGTGTGTTTTTGAAGAGATGTGCCGTATTATAACTTTAGAACATAACCTACTTATTCAACCAATCAAATGCTTCCATTTCTCTCGAAGAATTGATTCTTCATGGTGAAGAATTCTTCTATTTCTGAAAAAATTCAACGGTGTCTGATTGGTTCACTTGACAGTTATATGGGTGTGTCTTCATTGGTCTTTGTTCAGCACACAAAAAGAAACTATTCAAAACCCACGTGCTGTTTACAATCGTGATATTTAAACTTTCTAGGCTTTGCTACATTTTTTTCCCACTATAATCTTTTGTCGCCTTTTGGGATATTATTTTTTTCACATTTCGGTACATACAGAAAATACAACCATAGTCATGTACATCAGAGACGAACCTTGTCTTTGGAGACAGATTTAATCACAAATTCCATCAAATTTTTATTTGATATTAGACAGCCATACCCACTTCTGCTGACTAGGCATCATCTTAACACAATCATTTTTCCAAAATGTAGATTCTTGTTACATGGGTATTCATAGGCGTCAGAACTGGGGGGGGGGGGGGTTAGCCCCCAAATTTTATTGCAAATATATACATAAAACATAGTCATTGAAAATTAGGGTTTACTTTTTTTTGTTGGATTATTCCCCCCCCCCTTTCAATTTGCTTCCGACGCCTATGGTATTCATAAGTTCAGTAACTTTAACATCTTCACCATACCATTTCCCCAGTAAATTAATTTGAGGTATGTCATATAATATCGTGCTAACCTGAATTGGTTGGGAGTCCATTCTGAAAACGCGTGTGTTCGATATGATTGCGTGCTCGAAATGTACAACGAGCGGTCAAGTTGAGCCTTATATATGACACAGCTGTGGGAGGAGTTTATTTTTAATTCATGCATTTGATTGGCTGAGGTTCTGTTCTAAGTCAATAAGATCATATGAAGAGAAATCTTCGTCACGAAGAGCCCATTCTTCATGACGAAGATTTCTCTTCATATGATCTTACTATTAAAAAAAACGGACAAATAGAAGAAAATACGCCATAATGTTTTAGACGGATTAGGAAACACATTTGTCATGCGTCAGTGATTATTAAACATATACAAACTAATCGTAGTGTGCCCTTCGCTTATTCGGGGAAAGGTTATTGAGAGAGAGAGAGAGATTCTTTTTAAATTTATCAATAAACGAGCATTCATACGGTAGACAGTATCTCCTTGGATGATGTATTAAATGACGATCTTAACTAGATTATGTTGGACTGCTTTTATATTGATATAAATGTAACAGGCCTGAAGCAAGATATTCTAGGTATGGGGGGGGGGGGGCAAAACCAAACGTTTTTACTTCAGAGTCACTTCCAAACAATTTTTTGGGAAGCCAAAATGAAAGATTTTTTTTTTAGGGGCACATATATACACTAACTAAATATTCTATATTACATTGTTTATTTATCGACTTCATTAGGGGGGAGGCTTATCCTTACCCCTCAACTCCGTTTCTTTATCTGTTTATATATGTGTATTATAAAAAAGGCTGAAAATAATACGCATTTATGTAGGGTGGTGCATAGTAAATTTTTTTAAGTTATGGTCCACTATGTCAATGTTGTTAACCATGCAATAGTCAGAATATAAAATAAGAAGATACACTTTTTACTTTTGACCACACACAGTTATTTTGACTGAAGGTCCAATATACATATCAAAATTATAACTTGCTTCATCTTTAAGGAAAAAGATATCGTCCTGTTTTAAAACAAAAAAAGATTGATTCTAGAATACTTACAAAAAGATAACGGACTTATAAAAGTGTGAATATGAAAACGTAGTTATCACTTAGTTGTCATGACATCCTTCAACAGTATGTGTACACATATGCTTATCACAAGTGCTTGTAGATCAGACAACCTCCCCATCCCCACCCCCAGTATACATATCGGGTCCCAAGATATTCATGTTTGTCTTCTTTCATAAATGAACCGTCTAGTACATATTTACAATGTATTTCAATTGAAAAATCCAAAAAAGTACATAGCATTCACTTTTTATTAAAAATCATGCCCATAGTATCTTTAATTATCTCTAACTACTTCACTGCAGGTATGAATTTTGTATGTTGTCAATTGTAAATGTTATTAATGAAAGAAAGCCAAACAAAAAAAAATCTTTGGACCCGGATTTATATACATGTACATGTATATTCCAGGAGTTGGGGAGTGGGGGCATAGTCCTATGATGGCATGCTTATATGGAACTTGCTCTCATACACCTAAATTATGTCAAAAACACAATTCAATAAACTTCCATTTTTGCCCCGACCCCCCTGAAACTTGGAGATATTAATCTTTTTTAATTCTGTTACACTTTTGTTTCAAGCAATATCTTGAGAAGCCCTTGGAACTTTTACAGTAAAAAAAAAAAAAAAAGCTTTCGGTCTGGGATGTTGGGGGGGGGGGGGGGTGTGGTGTCCTGTACACAAACACCCGTGAGAATAATATGAAGATTTTGAAGATACATGTTTGTAAGAAGAAACTTTATCAACTGACAAATTACGAACAGGCATCCCCCTAGATTTAGGATATGGCTATAATATATGTGTATTAATGCCATATTTATTTTTCACAGCATATTGTATTTTGAACAAGAATTTCTTTAAAGTTTTTGGGTTTTGTAATTTAATTTTAGATCATAACTCCTTATTGTCCCGACCGCCCTTCGTAAAATAACCCCCCTCGACCCCTTCTAGATCCGCACAAACTATCATTTTTTATTTAATGCCGCGGAATGACGTTTTTAAAATTTTCCTTTTATTTCCCTTCTCGAACCCCTTTGCTCATTTAAATGTCCATTGAAATATATTGTAGCGTACGACAAGAAATGGCTTTGAGGTATCTTGTGGGGAATTTATCTATCGAAATCACAATAAAATTGAAGAATTCAATAATGCAACCGCGAATACAATAGACTACAATGACTGATCCCCGTTTTTGGTTACGTTTGTTCGTAAGATGTCGGTGTTTCTCTATTATCACTAAATTAAATTTAAAATACAAGGTGCATATGAAAATAATCCTTAGTATCATACCTATCAAAATCATGTTAGAACACATCATGAAGCGATGCTTCCTTAGTCAGTAAATTACGATGTTGTATGTGGTTGTAAAAAAAATGCATCTGTGAGGAGGAGTTATCTTTCTTCTAAATATTTCTTCATGCGGAAAAAAAATTGTCATACTTGTTCAAAATGTTGTATAAAGTACTTGAAACATAGAACCATTTTTAAAATGGTCATTAAAAAGGTACAACTCATTCAATTTTAAAGGTACTTGGACAAAGATTTGAAGTTGACATTTTCTCATTTTTTCTGTAAATTATCACGAATTATATATCTTAATAGCATTTCACACAAAAATTGATTAAAAATCTTATTTCATTTAAAAGTTATTAAAACTTTAAATTTTTTGGCGTTTTGATCGACACATTCTTGCACTTTCACAAATTTTAACTTTATTCTTAATCCTTAGGAAAAAAGGCAATTTTGATGTGTTTTAATGAGACATATTAAAACTTTTATCAAGAAAAAAAATTTTATTCAGAGTAAAACTGTTAGAAAGCAAAACACCTTCACAAGTATCGTCATTTCGAACTAAGAGATGCGTACAGAGTTTAGCAAATCGAGCACACTCGTGTTATGTACACAGTTTTTGTAAACAGGGCTCGAGTTCTATTATTGTTTATATTTAGAATTCACCGGATGCGTTCAATCGTCACAGTCTGCTTACCACAACTGCACGGACTGACAATATATTGTGTGTTTGTTTTGCTTTCGAACGTGTCTACTTTGAATTTCCTGGATTCTAGTATTAATATTTTTCATTTATACAAAACGAGATTGCCACTTTTCCTAAGGATTAAGAATAAAATTAAATTTGTGAGAGTCCAAGGATATGTCAATCAAACCCGCCGAAAAATTTGAAATTTCAATATCTTTTAAACGAAATAAGATTTTTAATTAATTTTTGTGTGATATGCTATTAAAATATATCAGTCGTAATATTATAGAGAAAATAATAACTTTAAATCTGTGTCCAAGTACCTTTAAGGCTTTGGAAGTTGTATTTAAGTGTGTTATTGTAAAATATATGAAAACAATTACAAAGAAATTGGCAGAAGAAATAGAAACTAATGTTTCCATCATATATTTGACTTCATCAAATTGACTACTCAGAGGTCTCAATTAGGAAACTCTGATTAAGTATTTCAAACATTGAATGAAAATATCTATATGCTTCATTTATTTTATCATTTTCATCGCATTTAACATAGTCTTCCTAAACTAGACAGAAATATATGTAAACAAAATATCATCTCACCTTGTGATGCGGTGGCGCTATGACATACATGTATGACCCCCAAATAAGTTTATACAAAATTTAACATATTTTCCTTTCAGTAGGTTTATCTAAGAGAAATATTTGCAAATGTAAATATGACATATTTGCAATATACTGTGAGGAATTTGCCTTTTAAGCATTTTAGTTGCTATTAGACATTTTGTATTATGAGGTTCTTGTCTTCCATGGCCCCGACCCAAAACAACCACACCATTATCATGGCTAAATGCCACACAGTGAGTAATTTTTCATTTGTATTTTGAAATTGTGTTTACTGGCAATTTAAGATACACGTGTTAAATCTTCAAATGGTTTCTTTTTTTTATTACAGCAGAGGATTTGACTGTTTATTGTGAAGTTCAATAAAATTCTTAATCTCATCATCCTTTTTCTGCTTTGTTTCGGCTGCACCTGAAAACAAGAGAATTGTGGTTTTCAGACATATGGAAATTACTGACAAGAGGTGTTCAGTCAGTCTAACATAACTTAGAATACATTTCCAAAACGTTGGCTATTAGTATCTACTAGTATTATACATGTAGATAAACAAATAACTTAAACTATGCAGAAAGGTAACAAAATCCAAATATTCCACACACCGCTTTCCATGAATCGAAATGCAGAAGGGTGAATAGAAAGCAGTTAATATGAAAATAATTCGTACCGTCTTTATTATGGGTGTTCAAATGTGTTGATAATCAAAACACAAAAAAAGATCTGTGACTAATAACAAGTTTTACAATTGAAAACTATAACACCTTGTGCACTATCAAGAATTAATATTAAATATATAACTAAAATTATAAAAAGAAACTTAATTTTAATTAAGATATCCAAGTTTGACTTATTTTTTTTTCAATTTACGTCAAATATGAATATAAAATCTTCGACTTTTCCATCTTCATGGACAGATGCATTGGATGCAAGTGATATGGGTATATTACATCTTAAGTACATAAATAAATGCAGTGAAATGTTCAGCTGTCAAATGTAACATTAAGATAAACGGGATTATGACGAAAAGATGAATCATTTAAGAATATTTTCTTCCAGAAATAGCATCGTATGTGTTAAAGGGGAAAAAATCCTAGTCCTAAAATCTCCTCTTAAGAGTTTTATTACTTCGAGTAAAACTTCATTCGCATCTATTTAAAGTTTGAATTTTAATAAGAATCCATATTTAATAAGTTAATCCAAGTTGGAAGTGTGCTTATACCTAAGTTCGATCTTGATAAATTTAAACTGACATGAATTATTTCAAATAAATGTATTTGCTTTCATTTTTATGAAAGAATATTATCTTATAAAACAAAAGATAAGAGGCCTAGGGGCCATATTGCTCACCTGAGCAACTAGTGGGTAAAATCAAAAATCAGCTCGGCATTGAAAAAAATAAATATAAAAGTGTGTTCAGGAGATGGGGTTGTTTTTTAACAAACTTATATCTATACTTCCTACGGATACTTTTAAGTAAATGATACAAAATGACTTTGCTGTTTATAAGATGAAAATTTTCATTGATATAGCCCTTAGTTTCATTTGCTTAATTATAATCCAATTCCTTGGCTCCTCTACTCTCCTGGTTGGTCATTATTTGAACAAGTTTAAAACCATACCATTTTATATTGATGATCTTGGCTTTATTGTTCTTGTGTAGAAATTTAACAATTTTTGCTATGTATACGTACGTAAAATCTTGATCATCCATTGTGAAACTCACTCTACCCCGGGGTTCATGATTTAAACAACATTGAATCTACACCACTCGAGGATGCTTCACAACTTTGTACAGCTTTGCTGTTCTTGAGGAGAATTTCAAAGATTTTTTCTATGTAATCCTTCTTAAAACTTTGATCACCCATTATGGTCCCACCATTGGCCCGAGGGTAATGATTTGAACAAACTTTAATCTATAGTGCAAGGGGATTATTATGTTCATTTAACTATGACCAATCACTGCTTTTCTGTTTTTGAGAAGAAGATTAAAAAAAAATCTTTCATGTACTCCAATGTCAAACTTTGTTACCCGATTGTGGCCACTAACTACCCCGAGGGTCATAATTTGAACAAACTTGAATCTACACTTCCAGAGAGTGCTTTCATATTACTATCACCTAGCATGGCTTTGCTATTCTTATAAATATTTTCAAAAGATTTTTTATGTATTCCTATGTTAACCTTTTGATACTCGATTATGCCCTACCCAAAATAGGAAAAGTTTACGACGATAACGACGACAACAACGACGACGACAGACAACGGATATATTTTGATTAGAAAACCTCATCTAAACCTTCGGCTCAGGTGGACTAAAACTTGTAAAACGTGCACGATGTCATATAGAATAGATGTCAAATGAGATTCAGTATCTTGTTATTGGCGAATCGAGACACAAAACAAATTTATAAGATCTGTATCCCCAAAAGGTTTATACCAGAAGCTTTGTTATAATCCGTAAAAAAGGTAATTAGTTTCTTTCAAAACTTTTTGACATTTTATCTAAGTCACTTTTAAAACATTCATATAACGTTCATAAAGGTATATGTTAAATACTGTGATTCAAAATTTTCTTTAAATAAACTTTCATATATACATGTAGAATGTTATTTAGTTTTTAAAATATCATTGAATGCTCAGATGCTTGACATTCATCCAATATATGATCCTTTTAAATTCAAACTACCAAAACAGACGCAAAATCTATTGGTTTTTCTTCATGAAAAACTTCATTGCAAAATGTTTATGCTGAGAAAAAACTTTCTTGTACATTATTTTGGAGATTAGAATAAACAAATACAAAAAAATAATTAAATAGGTCCCCTGTCAAAGTAAATTTAAAATAGAAAAATATACTGATATCAGTAAGGACTCGTTTAACAGAAAGGACAGAACAGTAAAAGGATTGACAAAACAGTGTGACAGAATGGACAATGAAATCTAGAATTAAAAAGAAAAATAGACTTATTGTTTAACAACTTCATAGGTTATCAAAAAAGAATGAAATGTCGAATAAAAACATGTTATTGTTCAATATGGGAAAATCGAACGATGAAAGAATGATTTTATGTTTATCCGTTACAAAATTTGATTTTGAAGTTCTATCAAAATATATATAAGTTCATTTTTCGTTCATTAAAGGTATCCCATGCTGTTTCAAAACTAAGAATTTTTTTTTAATATAGGGAAAACAAATGATAAAACTAAAATAGGTAAATGAATTCCAGATTTTATTGGATTATTTGTCGACCGCCTCCCCTTTTATTAAGTTGTATTGGAACTATCTGAACCACGAAAATATTTCAATATGATTTACATACATGAAATTTATTACATGTGTAAAAAAAAAGTTATATCCTTTTGAAATATAACATTAATTGTTGTTTTTGTTACTATATAAAAACACAAGATAATTATGAAATCCTTCCTGTTACATCCATGTTAAAGGTATCAGGAGTGAAAGTAACAGAATGGACTTTTCTAATATTAAATTTGTAAACATTCAAATGCTACATCTTATAGATCTTACTCAATATAGATTGCAATAGATGAGACATATTATGTAAATAAATAATTCAAGGGTGTTCTACTTACAAACATCATCGACTTTAGCTTTCATTTTTTCATATTCTTCACCTGTAGATACATTATGTATGTTAGTAGAAAAAAAAACAATCAGCAGGGCTCAAAGAATCAAATAAGATGTATTTGAGTGTGGTGTTAATAGAAAAAGTTACAACAATCATTTTATTACATTTTATTTTCATCGAAACGAGATTTGTAGTACAAATCTCTATGAAAACCTTGATCACAAAGCATCTTAGTTTATTGGGACATTACTAGTGAAGGAGTGTAGTCTATATTAAAAAAGATATCAGAAAATATTTAAATTTATCAGACATCGATTAAGTAGTTTTGTACTTATTCTTTTGTTTCAGTATCTAAAGTGAAACTACTGCAAGTCGTTTTAATTCCATGGTGTTAATATTTTACGATTTCTTAACATGTACATTTTGCGGTGGTTTGATTTACGAGGGCTGTTCAATAAGTAATGTCATCGGTGCTCGAAAAGAAAACAAAAACGCTTTCCTATGATTTAGTCTTTATGATTTAACTAAAATATTCCCTTTTATCGAAATACATACCCGTAACGTTTTTATTCAATATCTAACTGTTTTTAGAACACATTTTTGTGTATGACCCTTCGTATACTGCAAAATTGCAGATCCTATGATTTACTGTTCTTGTTTTGTGTTTCAGAAAAGTTTTTTTTAAGTTTGGGAAATGAAAAAAAAGAGTCAAAGGTTGAAAGATCTGGCGAATATTGTTGGTGTGACAAAACATTAACTTTCTGTTTATCATCATAACTCCTTTAATCTTCATGGCCTGTGGGTTTGGACGTTGTCATAATGAAATTCAATGTAGTGAATTCCTCATTCTGGCTCCTTCGTCTCATAAACCTTCATTTTTTTGCAAAGATTTTGTTTTCTAGACTCCTCCAGAAATTGAACTTCCTCCCCGAATAAGAACTTAAACAACAAGACCACTAATATTTCAGAAAATAGCAATAAAACTGTTTTTGTGATCTTGCAATTCTTTACCCTTCTCAGGCCTGTGCAGTTTTGTCAAGTGCACCTTACTGTTATCTGTTTGAATTTCAGACAAACGTGGATAAGTACAATTTTTGACTTTTTAAAACAATTGTTTAGATATTCATACACCCTGTCTTTTTCACTAATTTTTCAAAATATAGAGTGACCTTTAAGTATTAAAATTTTACTATCAAACCTTTCTTTAAAACAGTGAACTATCCCCAAAATGTTGTCTTTTAAATTTGCTTTGTGTCTTAAAGTAAATAAAACATAATCAGCGATACTTTGTTGAATTTTCGAACATATACATTGGTAGTTGTAATTCCTTGTCGCAAAGGACGGTACCAATTTTTGATGCCCATTCTTCCATTTTTGTTCATTGGCATCCACCTGTTCATGTGTTGATAAAAGAGCCATTGATATCTGTAAATTTCATAAATTCGGGGAAAATATTTTTTGGATATTAACAAGTTTTATAACTGCTTTAATGAAGCGTTTAATTTCACTCTATTTTACTGCCTTAAATGCAGTCTCTCGAATAGCCCTTGTTTTACAACTTCCCACAAAGAAACTTTAATTGTGATGAAAAATGGTCACATAAAGTATTATCAAATCACTAAAGATTCAATATTCAGAGAAAGTCAAACTTAATCTCATACATGTATGATTTCTATGTTATATGTCATCGAGCTAATGACATTATTTATTAATTGAAAAGCCCTCGCAGATTTCGTATAAGCATTGAAACATTTCTCAAAACTCATGATAGCATTCACGATGGGTTTAATTTCGCGGTACGTTAAGTCGCGAACGTAGTGAAATTAAAACTATCGTGATTATTGCAAATCTACAGTAATCAAGCGATATCATAAAATTATGTCTGATATACTGCTGATTGCTTTATTTACAAAATGTGAGATAGCAAGTCATCCCTACGTTCTAACACGAAAGTAAATTCATACATGATTAGTGAGTGCAGCACGCTAGAGCACAGATGCACAGATTGAAGTCATTCTCCCCTAATGGTATCAACAAACTGAATGACTTCACCAGAATGAAAGTAAACTAGACCCAATTCCTGATGATACTTAACAAGATTATTATCTCAATTTAGTGTTAACTCTACAGTTAATTTACGTCACCAACTCTCGAACAACCCACGTAACTTTGAATTTTTACGCCTTTGCTAATTATTTTTTCCCGATAATTAGTCCTAAAACATTTCAAAATTCATAATAGATCATAATTCGTATGTTAAAATATCCCTGCCGTATTAATTTTCTTTAAATATTCTTTATCAAGTATATATAGTTATGCCATTTTCAGAGAATGAAACAATGTACGATTTACTGATTGTCGTAATTAATTAGAAAAATTAATTCTTTAAATTATGTAAATTTCACAACACCCGAGTATACCCAAGAGGCCGGACGTATTTTATAGTGGTCCGGATTTCTTTCTTTAATTATAGTGTTCTTAACTGTGGTTCTATGAGAAAACCAGGCAGAATTGAAAAAAATCAATTTTTAAGGTATTTTTAAATGTCTTTATTCCATTAAATATTGATAAGGTACACATCACTGATAAAAATATTAAAAGGTGAGAAAAGTGATAGCTTGTTCTATTTATAGTAACAGGGCCGTCATTAAAACCAGCAAAATAAAGCATAAGAAAGGGCAAATAAAGGGGGAATTTTATTCAATTTCACTGCAGCATTAGAGCCAAAAGCAATCATTTACACATAAACTACTTATTTAATATAAAAATTCAAGATTATAATTTATGTTTGATAAAAAAAGATTTCTTGTCAAACATGCAATGTTGCCATAGTAACCCGTCAAAAATGTCTCTTTTTACAGAAATAGCGTTTCGGATGAAAAGGTACCATAAAAATCTTTATATTAAACAGGGTTAGGACGCTTATTATTTTTAAATTCAAAATTAATTAAAAAGTTAAGTATGTTTGAATTCTCTATGCAATAGGAATTGTTTGGGTTTTGAGAAAATCTGTCGTTTTTGAGTAGTTAATCAGTGTTAAATTATCAGAGAGATTTTGGTGAAAATTAACATAAACACATTAAACAAAAGACAAATGTTGCTTATTAACTGATTGTTATTTTGCATTAATGTTGATCTATAAATAAAAATAATTGTTCAAAATAAAATCAAACAATTAACAGGTTTAATTAATTAAAAATGCCTTTCATGAGACAGAAACTTGAAGTTTCAGCATAGTTATCTCCCTTTACGGTACTCTCTAGGGAATGAGACACATAAGGTACATGCATGAATATGGCAGCTTCCAGGCATGGTGAAAGATTAGACTTTTCAAGGTCATGCACTTCTGTTGCATGTGGACGACCTACAGAAAGTATATATTCATGTCGAAAATAAAATATTGTCACACTTGGTGTATTGTCAAGCTGTCCCTAAACAACATCAAGTGACAATACCCGAGGGCGTTCTCTTGCTTTACCAATGTTAAAAAAGAGTATGTAAATTTCAAAATATGTCAAACGAGTCACAGAAATAGTCTTTGTACTAATTGGTACAAGACTCTAGGCGATGTTCACACCCGCTAAAAGAGGGGATACTTGTACCTGTTGGTAAGTGATATATAATGAACACTACAATAACATAATCTTATACATGGATACAAGTTTGATTGGTCCTCAGATAATTTTTAAGAATTTCTGGTGTAATATATGAGAGAATATTGATTCGATGTAGATTTACATATAATTTACATTCCATATATATTTTGCTAAATAAAGTGGAGAGCTATGACATTCAAATTGACAAAGCTGCATACAAATGAAATTGATAGGAGAGTCTAAAGGATATCAATATGATTTTTATCATGGATCATATCACATCTAGGTGTAGTACACCATCGACTCGAGTAAGTTACTAGACTACAATGTGTACATTAAAAAATAAATATTATTCATAGGTGTCTTCAAAGCTCATGTGTACATATTGGATCTCAAAGAATCCTATCCACATGTACAATGATTTTCTTTTTATGGTAGGGGTTATATTTTTTATTTAAAGAAAAATAAGTAACCTCAGGTGCCTGTGATCCCATTCAATCAGAATGGATATCTGTTGAAATGCAAGAAAAATTTAATAGCTCTCATTAAATTGCAGGTTTATGAAGGAATCGTTCTGAAAGGCACAGAAAAACTTACTCCACTAAAGTGGACATTGAGGTTGATCATTGATGATAGGTTCAAGGTTGGTACATTGTATACATGTGATATTGCATAACCCACAAACAACACCTATTATGTGAAAGTCCAGGACACTAATAAAAACTCAAAGCCCCTTCCCCCCTCCATCCAATCTGAGGATTTTTTTTATTTATAAGGAAATGCATGTTGTCTGCAATATTTATAGGCTTATCATTTCTCGGAGATAAACATCTTTTAGTTTAAGATTGAAAATTTAAAAAGCAATGAATAAATGATCTTGCTATATGTTTACTGCACAAGTACAACAGAAAACTTTTTTAAATTTTGTTGGTCTTCAATGTGCTAAATTACACAACAAAACTACAGCTGTACCTACCAAAAAAAAATCAGAGTACATAAACAGTTTTGTAAATGATTACTTCATTTATATCAAGGAATCTGTGAAAAGTTTTTAAAAGGGGCTTCATGTAATCATATAGGCAGTTGAATTACAACCCAATTAACACATTCCATATACTCTCTTTGTCCAAAAACAAAAAAATGGAGAAATAAAACAACCAATCATACTCTGTTTTAAACTATACATAATAATTATGAATTAGTTCCTCTTGTAAAAGTGAGGTTGAAATCCTGTAGATTTTTATAAGTTGATCTGTGTTTTACTGTATTGCTCTGAAGCCAGAATAGTGAGAATACTATTCCTAGTGATCAAATTATTTAGAAATAAAATCCCACTCGTGTATGAAAAGAGAAAATAAAATATAAATACAATATATAAAATGATAAATATTCATTAAAGTATAAGAAGCTAGAGTAAGGGCTATAATTTTGAAAATAGATGACTTTTGTCTGCATTACTGACTATCACATTGTCATGTAAATGATGTAAATCACATTTTTTGTTATTTCAGCTGAATTTTTTAAGCTTGGTACTGAGGATATTGAAGAGAAAATAGAATGTGACAATGAACAGTGTCCAGCTGTTTCTCAACACACCTCAGGGGTGGAAGGTACATATCTAGTTTATTTATTTTTACAAATTTGGTTTACTATAAGGTAAACTGTTGCTATCCGTATTCATCCATTGCTCTGCACCATATGTTGGTCATGTACTTTTGAATATTTCAAGCTTAATTTCTCTATGTAATGACTAAATTAAAATTCAAACTAATAAAATATCTGTTGGTAAATTACTTAGGATGGGAAAAGAAGTTAATGACAATTTGTCTTTTCATACCTGACATGAGATATTTTCATTCTTTTGTAGAAGCACAAATTTTAGTAGGGATAAAATTTCATTGATTTGTCACCTAAAAAAGTTTCCAGGCATTAAATTTTGTTGTTTCCAAAGTAAAACTCAGTAGAACTGGTACCTATAACAACAAAATAAATGATAATGAATATCCAATGATTATTTCTGCATTTACAATTTATTGAAAATTCGACATTTTTGAAAATCCCTATGAAGTTCCAATTAAAAGTAAAAACCTTTATTTTACCAAAACCCATAATGAGATTGAGAGCATATATTTTATTAGAGTGGGGGTATTACTACTGAGCATTGACACACAGACTTCTTTTTTATGCACCCAGATCAGTAGATCTGAGGTGTATATTGTTTTTGTCCTGTCTGTTTGTCTGTTTATCTGTCTGTCTGTTGTCACCTTTAACCTTCACCATAACTTTTGAACCATGGGAGATAGCATGCGCACTTAATTAAGTTCTTTCAAATGACACCAAGGTCAATGACCTTGTGACCTTGACTGTGACATCTGCAAAAACATTTTTTTTTTATTTTCTTGTTTCTGTGTTAAATGGTTAAAGGAATAAGTCAATGAAATTTGACAGCTATAGCTAACCTGGCTTTTTTCAAAATCAAGGTTTAAGTAGTTTATTGATTAAAAATTTTCTCTTCCCGTAAACAACTAAAAGGGGGGGGGGGTAACTTTTGGAATTTCCTGTCCAAAAACCACTCTAACGATTTTGTCCAAAATGTCCATACACACAGTAGATATAGTCATGTACTCAATATACAAAATAGCGAAAATTAAACGACAGGAATATTTTGGGGTAGGTGTCTCGTACATCCTTAAGAACCACAGTGTGTTAGGAAAGATGAAACTTATAGGGAAGCATCCTGGCCATTGGGGTAGTGTAGATTCATATCTGTTCAAATCATGACCCCCAGGGCTGGGGCGGGGCCACGATCGATAATCAAAGTTTATACTTGTATGGGAAAAAAATACTGAACTGATTTCTGCTTTTTTCCTAGCCACAGTGCCTAGGTGAACGATGTGGCCCATGAGCCTTTTATGGAAGAATTGTCTTTGAAGTGTGATTATAGTCAGAATTATGTCATCTTCAACATTTACAATATCTCTTAATATCAAAACTTATCTTTTTCAGAGCAATCCAGTCTGAATACAGATTTTTGTCTGAGTCAGTCATCCTAAGGAACTGTATGTGACTACTGGAGACGACCCACATACTAGAAAAGCTAAACAGGAGTATGAAACTGTCTGATGGTAAATTCACGCCCTTACGCTTCACCCTGAATACATCATTAGATGAGGTACAGCAATCTATAAAAGACTATGTGACACAGAAAGCCAATGAAGTTATTCAGTGTGCCTTTGAATGCATTGCACCTTGCAAGAAAATGCACTTGTTATATAAAAAATATTACATGCTGGAGGAAAAAAATAGAAACTAATGCATTTACAGAAGCCTTAATAAAAGCATACGATCAGGATCATCAGGCTGATGGGCATCAGAGTCAAGTACAGATACTATCATTTTTTGTGAATAACTTTTCAAAAACTGAACTTTGTAAAATGTCGCATGGTTTAACAAAGTACAAAATAGATTGTGCAAGAAAATATGCATCAACTAATATTGTCCTGGCTACTTTTTTCATCCTTTGTTAAAACAAAACAGTGGAGCTACAGTCTCCTCAGAGAATACTGGTCTATCCACGTGTACAGAAGTATTTTTACCAAAATGTTCATTCACTGTACATACCATTTTTGAAGTGAAAATATTGATTTTTCAAATAGTAGCCTAATATAGTTTATAAAAGTATGAAACAAAGGGAAATAAATCTGTCGCAAAAAATCACAATTTTTTGGAAAAATTCCTCAATTTCAAAATCGCACAGTGTCACCAATAATCAAAACCCTAATAAATGCCTTCAGGAAATTATTTTTAAGTTAACAATCTTTATCTTAAAACAAAATAGTTTAAAATCTAAGCGTCCAAATCCAGTTTTAAAACGTGTCCAATATCGACCCTTTTCCCACATTTTTCAGTCTCTTTTATATCAAGAGTTATTCCCCCTGTGTTTAAATATAGCATTGACTTTTAAGATAAAAAAAATTTGTGCAAAATGAAATAAATAATATATATTTTCTTTTGTTCTTACTTTTGATCACTCAATATTTTAATGAAAAGAAGAGAATGGTGAATGAAAATAGCAATTTTTATAAAATTGTGAATACAAAATGATGATAAAGATGGTGGCTTATGGGGTACCCCCTTGTTGGGCCCCAATATTGAAAATTTTCAGAAATTTTTTTTCTTGTGATTATATGCTATATTGTTGGAGTCTTTTGGGAAAGTTTCATAAATGTGAGTGACACTTAATGTATGGCCCCCTGCCTGTTTTTCTCATAGACCCACAGTTAAAAAATTCCAATTCAACATGTAACTAATTATGTAAATATATAGTGTTTAGAAATAGTGCTAGTTTTTTTGTTTCTCTTTCTCCTTTGTTCTTATGACTTTTTAACTTTTTCTTTGTCCCGAGGAAGGGACAGGGCGTCCCGAAAATTTGACAATTTTTATTGTTCGTGTCGTTGGTCATTTATAGTGCTTTATATAAATTCCCATCCGTGACCTTGTATCTACTTGGTAGATCCGATATTTAGGATATACAGTGTTGTTGGGTTTTTTTTTTTTAGTGCTTTATATGTCATTTATTTCAAAACAAAGATATACATGTGCAATCAAATAAGAGGGCACTATGCAGCAGTGGCACAATTAGGGTTTGTTAACTTTTTCTGTACCTCTAGTTCTTCCGTATCAAAATGAAATAAAATTGAAAAAAAAAAATAATGAATACAAAATTACTACGAAGTATTGGATGAACCCTCGTATATATTTATATTACTTAAGATTATACTTACAATTATTCATTTCCTGTCCTTTACGATTCTTTTTCCTTTTAAAACAGAGCACGGTTATCACTGTTCCAGCCACAAGTAAGAAAAAGATTGAAACTACCATAAGTATCAGCAGTAGGTCATCTTTTCTGTTAAAATATATAAAAGGGAAAGTTTATGCCAAGATGTTTCTTAAAATACAGCTTGGGATGCTCGCTTCGGTCACAAGTGAAATGTACGTTCTAGTATCATGAGTATTGAAGCTTTAAAATACTTTAGTTTACGTCGTATAGGGTTTACAAATCGTAAGTTCCATTGTCAGGCCGAATTTGATATTTTTATTTAAATCGGGAATCTCCGATATGACCCATTCAGAGAATTGAAATATCTAAACATTCAATTTATTAGAGTAGATTTGCTATTGGCCAACAAAAGGTTTTCACTTAATTGGCACTTAATCCCACCTCTTGTAATTCCATGTGTCTGCATATGTTCTAGGCCTGTTTTCGAATTGCATTGTCGATAGAATTTAAGACTTTAAGAATTTTATATATGATTGATAACTGATCGTTATCTTTTTTCTTTGATCTTTATAGTTTCACGATGTTCTTAAAAAAGCTTATATAATTCCACTGTGGGACGTGGAGACGAGTCTTTCGGATGAGACCGTATAAATCGAGGTCCCGTATCGCAATAAGTGCTGACACGAAAATGATCCTTCACTGCATGCTCAATGGCCCCGAGTGCCGAGTATAGGACAAAATTTGCAGCTCTCCACCTTCATGTTATGGCGTCGTCATATGAGTGAAAAATTCTCGAGAGGAACATTAACAATATACAATCATTCAACCATAAAGCACTTTTATTGTGCATTCTTTTCATATAAATAATAGACCATTACTGTACAGTCATGTTCTTGGAGTCATACTTTTGATATCTTTTTTTTATATTTGATATGATTTCATGTATGAGGTTATACACTTCTTGGTCACAGAACATGAATTCGTACATATGTAGATGCAAGTCTCCTAATGCCTCAAAAACAACGAAAATTAGCCACCTCAAAACAAATGATTTCACAGTATTTTCACACTGAAAGTATAATAGATATATATGTTTTGAGGTGGCTATTTTTCGATATATATTTGATTGATATAAAGATAACAAACAATTATTTAGCTTGAAATAAAGTCAAATGAAACAACAAAGATCTGGAACTGATAGTTAGATCATGTGCCGTGGAGGAGTAAACATCAATTGTCGACTGGTTACAACCGCGCTGTGTGCTCCTGGTCAAGACAAACAAACAAAAGGGTAGACTAAGCTTTGTACAATTTATGAATAGTGTCAAAATTAAATTATTGAAAACAAACTGTAGGTCATGATTATGCCTATTTTATCCAAGTCTATTTTTTCCCAGCTACGCAGCCATTATATTATAAAATTTGATTTGAACTGATGCTTTTGTAAGTTTCGTTTTATTATCTTCTAGATCTTTAGCAAAAAGTATAACGATGACAAAAAAATATGATAATTATATATTACTTACGATTCATTTCCCTTCCTTGTCTTAGTCAGCACAATATCATAGCAACGTTGATCTTGAAGCAGTTAAAAAAAGAGTGAATTAGACAATAAAAAGAAGCGTAGTTAATAACAAAAAGGTTGGGGGAAATGCTAGTAGAAACAAATGAAATGTTGAACAGGTACGACACATTAAAATATATAATCTACTAGCAGTTCCGGTACAGCGTGCTTAAGTACACTCCCATGTACATCATTTAGGTATGAAATTCTTGTACATGTAGTGCCGCCCTACACTATACAGTCAGCAAAAAAAATTGTAATTGTAAAGACGACTATAGAGCTAGAGAAGAAAACATGGCGAAAGCGCTTGTAGTGATTGTAATGTAATCTGTTTTTTGGATTTTTACTTTTAAATATTCCCCCCAAAACTGTGCCGATTTTTCATTTTGTTTTTGAAATTTTATAGATAATTATAATTGTGCATGCAATTATATCAGTGTATATGGATTGAAACTACTTACATTTATAAGCATCTGTTGAGATATACCTTGCTGGACATGGTTTACTAAAATTGGTGCAATCCAATGAAAAATTATTTTTTATTCTTTTTTCGTCCAGACTGTACATTGCACAATAACCTTAAAGAGAGAAATACTCTATGCACACTCATACATAAATTTCTGAGTGCAATATTATTCCTTTATTATATAGCTAATAAATAGTCTCTAATAATATACTACCAAAAATCTAGAGAATTTTAACGTTCAACATCTTGACGTTTTATACTTTTATTGATCGCTAACTTTGTATTACGAATATGCCATATACACTTTGTTGGGTATGGCTTTATACATTGGTTTAAAATATGGCACGATTTGGTTGTACGTATATGTACGAATGAAAGAGCTTGCTAGTGGATTTAACAGTACAACGAGTGCAAATATTTTCCAGTATAAGTTCAATAACTCCTCTATCATAAAGCAAAAATTTTATCCCATTGATTACATACATATAATATTTATTTCATTAACTAAAATTCAAACGAATGCTGTCAGTATAGGTATTTAAATCAATGTCTCTCTTGCAAGTGTTCAATATCACATCATTCCAATGACCCTACAAGGCGTTATGTTTTGCTTTGCTTTTGAGGTTTTATAGGGGCTAATACATGTACGTACAAAATTGGTAAATATTTACTTCAATGTTGTGTGAAAATAAACTAAAATCACATGTATCTAGCTGCGATACCTAACATAAGTTGACCAAACAAATTTTTTGTTCGATATTGAATGCTCGTATTGAGAATGTGTCGGGCATACTAATGCATACGAAATTCATTAAAACAACAATCTATTAAAGCCTGAAAATCTCTCAACTTTTTGTACTTCTTTTTATCATAGACTATCTATAAGCTATATAATAATTTTTATCACTGTATGGTTGAATCAAAAAAATAAATAAATGAAGCAGCATTTCTGATGAGATTGGGAAACATGTATAAAAAAAATGAAGTTCCTTACTATGAAATATACGATCGAGCCGAGCACAGATTTTAGAGCAAAGCATGTAATTTACTCCAAAAAGGGACGAGAGATGTCACGTTTAATGGCCATCAAGAAAGACGAGATATAATGTCATTTATAAAGAAAAACAACTACATTTTAAGCGGTTCTCGACGTATGTGTAATTTTGGGGTTTCGAAGGTCCATGTTTCCTCTGCTCCTATTTTGTATTGTTTTTGGACTTTGATATTGAATACTCCTTCGGTGTCTCCATATCCTTCTTTCAAAAGTCATTATTTTAAAAATTCCAAAAATTTTATGAATTGAGAGTGAATTACATTATACGACAGCTTGCTTATTTAGAAAGTCATACACGTTGTTCTTCACAAACTTTTATTTCAAAACTAATTATGTTTTAAAAACTGAACTTCATATAATCATTATGATGCACACTGGTAAACAAAATTTTGAAAAACAAAAGTACGTGAGTATTAATAAACAATTCTAATAGCTTATATATGACAGCCAGGACTAAAATGTTATTGCTATCTAAAAATAAAGAATGGGCACTTTTAGGCCTTAAATAATCAAATAAATATTGATTTAACATGAACAAGCTTCATTCAAAGGTCTTGGTTGCATACCTGAAATAAACCAAGGCGGTGCACACACCTCAACTGTCCCATTGCTCCATTGATTCAACAAGCAGTGGTAAACTAACTTTGATTCAGAAGGACAGGTAGGTGCAACAGGAATAGCCTCGCACTTTAAACCTTTGGATGCTATATCCCATTCCGTTAGGTTTTTTGGACAGCTAGTACCATTATTTATTACTGATCCCGGACAAGTTGTTCCATTGCTTTTGTCCATCTGCAATCAATAGCACTCTGTAGTTGCGTTGTAAGTTTTTACATAAATGTCATATTATTTTAAAACTGTATAAGAAATATAAAACAATTTCACCACAGGTGGAATTAAAGAAGGTTGGACCCTTCAATCAAAGCCATTTGTTTTTTAAACTGTGTGAAAATACACCCCCCCCCAGATTCATTAACATAGAAACAAAATTATCTGATTCATTTTTTATCTGTATGTTATATTTAATATGATTTTCTTGCACTGGTGAAACATAGGTAATCAGAGATTACAGAGCTCACCTCAAAGAATGTTGTCTTTAAGTAAGGCAAAGTCACACAATAAACCAACAAAAAGTGTACATTCCAAAATGAAAATATTTATGCAATTTTGATCTGATACTTTGGAATAGAGCTATATAAAAACTTCAAACTAGTTCTTTTTCATGAAAATGTAATTAAAATCCATCATCTGAAGCAAATTTGAGAGTTTTCATCCCTTGATGCATCATTTGTGCAAATTTGGTTTATACAATGTTATATAAGCCTTATAGATTTTTGGTAGTAGACCTTCACCCATAACTTTTACCTGGTCCATTATCTGAAAAATGTTTGTCTAATTCAGCATCCAATGCAAGTCCATTAGTGTGCATCCTAAGATGCATCATCGATGCAAGTTTGGTCATTATAGGGCTCATAGTTACTTGGAAATGAAACCTGCACCAAAAACTTTAACCTGTTCACTCAACCGGAAAATGTAGGTCAGATTCAGCATCCAAAGCAAGTCTGGTAGCATGCATCCTTCGATGTACCATCCATGCAAATTTGGTCAAAATAGGGCTCAAAGTATCTTGGAAATGAAAACTGCACCTAAAACTTTTACATGTTCACTCAACCGGAAAATGTAGGTCAGATTCAGCATTTGAAGCAAGCCTGGTAGTATGCATCATAAGATGTATGAAACCTGCAAGTTTGGTCATTATAGTGCTCATAGTATCTTGGAAATGAAACCTGCACCAAAAACTTTAACCTGTTCACTCAACTGGAAAATGTAGGTCAGATTCAGCATCCGAAGCAAGCCTGGTAGTATGCGTCCTTAGATGTATCATCCATGCAAGTTTGGTCATTATAGTGCTCATAGTTACTTGGAAATGAGGCCTGCACCAAAACTTTAACCTGTTCACCCAACCGGAAAATGTAGGTCAGATTCAGCATCCAAAGCAAGCCTGGTAGCGTGCATCCTTAGATGTATCATCCATGCAAGTTTGGTCATTATAGTGCTCATAGTTACTTGGAAATGAGAACTGCACCAAAACTTTAACCTGTTCACTCAACTGGAAAATGTAGGTCAGATTCAGCATCCGAAGCAAGCCTGGTAGTGTGCATCCTTAGATGTATCATCCATGAAAGTTTGGTCAACATAGGGCTTATAGTTCCTTGGAAATGACACCAACACCAAAAACTGCACCAAAAATGTTAACCTGCTCCAAAAACCTTAACCTGGTCATTCCTTTGCTGAAATTGCAGCATCTGAAACTTTGACTGGTACAATGAAACACACTAGAAAAATCTTCCATGCATGTCTAATCAATATAGGTCATAGAAGTACTTTAAAAGAAAACTGCTCCAAAAAACTTAACCTGGGACGCCGACACCGACACCGACGGGGACGCCGAGGGTATTACATAAGCTCCCCCAACTTCGTTGAGGTGAGCTAAAAATAACACACAAATATGTTCTTCAAAGTTTATCCTCTAACATATTATTTCAAAACATAATCTTACTCTGAATTACATTGGGCACGTGTGTAAAAAATAGGTTCAAAATATTTATTCATTTTGCACTACGTCAAATAATTTTACACTTCTATCGATAGCAGCAAAAAAAAAATAAATAAAAAACTTTATTCAAAGTAAAAAAAATTATAAATTGAATTTATACCTGTCAGAGTTATCATGGTAAATTTTCTCTTGAACTATCAACATTTTAAATTTTTTCTCTGTTTTTCACGAGGTACTTAGGTACTAAACATATATCTTACAAGCCCAATGAAAACAACATCTCATTGAACACAAAAAAGCATAATTTTTTTTCATTGAAATCTAATTGAACTAATCATTTTTGGAAAGAAAAGAAAATTTTATTTAAATCCTTTTTATGTGGAATTGAATTTGTCTTTACATGTATTACATAATACAGTTATATTGTTAGCATCGTTGAATCCATATATATTGCTTGAAAATGATGCAAATATGTGCTCTTAAGCTCAGTTTCGAATTTAATAAAACCATATAATCATTATTACATGTATCAATACATGTACCAAGTGATCCGTGTAAAAGTTTCTGTTAAATCATTGAGATTAATTATAAATGTACAAGACTAGTATACTTTTGAATCAGAAAAAGACATCGCAGAGCGGAGCATCCCATTGCAAAAAAGAGCACATCATTAAAACAATACTTCATGCAACATCAACTCTGATGCAAATTACATCGCTTCTTTTTCACAAAAGGAACAAATTAATATACATGTAACACTTATACACAAACAAGCGTTTGTAAATTCCCTCCAACTCCTGAGCGAGGAGGTAATTATGTTCGTTGGTGCAGAATGCTTACCGATGCGTGGAATAGGAAAAGCATCAATATTTTAGGAAAGTCCGACATTGATGACCAGCAGATTTGATCTGAAATTCATAGTGTATAATATTAGCAACTAATTATCTACTAAATGTAATATGTACAAGGCATAGTGCCTATGACTTTGATATTGCTTGAATTTAGTTGACTGTTTAAAAGTACAAATTTGGATTGATTAATGTCATCCTTTTTTGGCCTTTCTCAAAAGGTACATGTAAATAATTTATATCAGACTTTGTACTAATATTTTATATAAAAATTGAATAGTTTAAAAATGAATTAAATCAATCATTTCACTGTTAATATATAATTTATTGTATTTTTGAAATCTGCTGAATCTATTTTCTTTTAAAAAATGAAGACACGAAAGTGCTTTTTGAACACTTTTTATGTCTAAAATTCATATATTGGAAGAATGATATTAAAACACGGTTAAACATGTAACTTTTGTATAATAACGCAAAATCTTTAGATAATCAAAAAGGCTCAGTGGGTTTATTTTTATATCTTTGTATTGTTTCAAATTACGTAACATATTAAATATAATGAGGAGAACCTATTAATCATAAAATGCGTTTCCAGTTCATTTGATCCATTGAATAAGACACGTTTAGAACAAAGTATTTAAAAAATTAACGAAGAAGCCTTCAAGATTGAGAACAAAATAATTTTAGAGTACGAGGTATTTATACATTCAATTATTGATCAGTCCAATCAGAAAAAAAAACCACTTCATTCAACAATCTCTCATCAATGTTATATAATTATATAAAGGTAAATTTGAAGGAAAGCGTGTTTATGAATATTGTGGCATTTTTCAAATGTATGATTTTTTTGCAAATTTCTCCAACAATTTTTTTTTTTTGCGCATCGTACATGTATATCCTAAACAATAAGCAGAAATTGCTCGCAGATTGGAGGTCATTGATAAGCTACACCGGAAACAAACCCATGCAATTAAGCGAAAATCCTATTTTTAATAGCGCATTTTATGCAGCCATCTTGCAGCAAATTTATAATATGTGATGAAAACTAACAGGAGAGTGCAAGTGCTGTAAATTTAAATTTGATTCAGATTTATATACAAGTAAAAAGTATATGAAAACTTATATTGAAAAACTTTAGACTTACAGTAAATATCTTTGAAGGAGCTGTGTAAATTGTTAAGCCCCACTCGTATAACCTAAATATACATGATATTAAGAAACCAAAGGAAAATATTATGAAAGGGCTGTCTTGAAATATAAATTTGGATAATATAAATGTTTATGAATGTTTATTGGATAAAAGAAATAAATAAAATGTAATTCAAAAATATGCCTGTTCGTTGTTCAAAAATGTATGATGCTAATTACTCTAAAGTTTACTCTATATTGAGGAAATAAAGTTGTTTGTTACGATCCGGTATTTGGTTTAGTTCACCTTCACCTGGAGAGATCATAAAGTTTGTTAATACCACTAGGGTGGAATGACTTCAATCTGTACTTTGTGCATCCAGAACTTTTCTTTGCGTTTTCTCTGTATAGTCAATAATCACCACTTTCTTGTTCCCCATTTGTGACTCTCGAATTCAAGTTTGAAATGTTCCCCAACGGGGTTTTCGTCTTAATGGTCGAACAGTGACTATTGACTCTCAAGCGGCGATCTCCTGATTTTCCAACAAACTGTTTAGAACAAACATCGCAACTTATAAGATAAATGATGTTCGTGTCTTTGTTTTTTTTATTAAGACATTAAATTCCTTTTGGATCCAATTACAGGTCACCAACATGTGCAATCTTATCTTAAAATTATCTACGGGGTTGATAGGTGGGAGGGGGTCGAATGTGGTTCCGTCGAATGTTACTGGCTGACGATGTGTTCTGCACAACAATAATGTGAACTAGAGTACATTGTATTTAATATCAGTTAAATAATTAGCAACAGATCTTAAGAATAAAGTTTATTTTATATTTACGTCCAGGTGTATGCATTCATCGTATCTGAACGCTACTCTGAATCCAATGTTCTCTATTTTCGAAATTTCCAGGGGGAGGCCCCCGGTACCCCCACCAGCAGGAGGGGGGAAAACATGAAGACCTATGCAAGTTACATGTAAATGCCTGTACATAACTGAGACAACTCGAACAAATTGCGCATTTATTTAGCTTTTGTTGTTTAAAATGAAATGTACTTTTTATAAAATTAAATTGGTTGTTATTCATATGATGTACCCATATATTATTTTAGTAAAAAGTACCTTGAAAATAACAAATTACAAACAGTACTTGCCTGATCGTTCAAATTCATGTTATTGGAAAAACCAACTTTCGGTTTGTATTTTAATTAGCCCGGCATAGCTGTTGTTACGTCATTAAATGAGAGAAAGTTTTGCAGTGGTGGTTTGTTCTCAATTTATTGATTACATTTTTCATTTAGCGTTTATATTCAGAGATATACAGAAACAGTCAGATTACAAAAATGACATTATTTTATTTCTTTCGGCAGAATCAATGACAAAAAAAAAAATCATTTATCGCGTTAAAGCTGTTAAACCACTTTAATTAAGCGATCTGTTGTACGTATGCAGTATGTAAACTTACATTTACATGAACTTAAATTTCTTTCGAAAATATCCACCCAAGAATTTTTTTCCTTTTATTATTCTAAAACTTGTGTTCTGTTCTCAGTTTTTATTTTTAACCCCCATAGTATGTATAAAAATGTTCACCTTAACGTATCAAACTGTATAGATAGTGAAAAATTAATTAAATTCTCATATTTGTGACCAGGTAAACATTTCAGCATGGTGAAAGAAAGTAATATGACACTATATTTCTGCCCCACCCCCATTCCACCTCCGCCTCGACTAAGTACTGCACAAAAGACAAACTTAATATGTCAACATGTTCGAAAGAAAAATTGAAAATTAAAGCAAGTAACCATATTAATATGAAATTGCGTAATGCAGTTTTGTAACATGAAATGTAGCTTTTGTCCGTGTCCTCAAAAAGTGTGTCATATGAGAACATTCAAGGTTAAGTTATAGAATTTCGGTAAATCCATTTAAATCTATAAAGCGCTTATAAAATTTACAAACAACGTAGGAAAGATAACCGCGGGTTTGCCTTTACCAGGCTTAACGCTTGCACGATTATTTTCCGCGAACTAGTAAAAATACATTTAGTCTGTTTGGTTCAATGACCCCCTCCCCCCTTTTTTTTTTGGTACTGATATCTTTTTTGCTGCTGTAAATTATTTTGGTTTCCTTACTATAGTTTCCCATATTGATACTTCTACATCAGGAAAACCTTGTGTGCAGAACTACAGTATGTTACAAGCCAAAATTCATAAACACACTCTCGAGGTTTAAGGTTTAATCAATAACTACCAGAGATTTTTTTTCTCCAGAAAAATTGACTAAAATATTTCAAATAGAAATTTTGACATTAGTTAGTCATATTTTCGCAAAGCAACCTACACATTTTCTAAAAAGTTAGACCATAATGTTTTCCATTATGCAGAGTAAAATGATGCCCCAGTCGCCATGACATAGATGGGGTCTTTAATTGCTAAAATATTTTCCCTCTCTTTTGTATAACCAAATAATACAACAACAACAAAGTTACAATTAATACTTAATAACAGATGATTTAGTGATAGAATTAAAACAACGCATCAACAAAGTTTTATGTTATGCTAGTAAAAATTATTTGATATATAAGGATTTCTTTTGCGTGCTTTCAAACAATGTGATAATTACCGGAGCTTTATTTCAAACGGACTTTTGACTGTAAGTAGTACAGACCAAGCATGAATTATACTCTGAAGTCATGTTTGCCTGCTGTATTTCACGTCGTTTTTGTAATCCTTTAAAATCATAAGAGAAATAAATCAAATTAAGTCATTTCCTTATGAATTGATTAACTATTTACCAATTTGGGGGGGTTTACAAAATAGTAGGAGGATATCCAAGAAAAGTAAAGTCGACAGCTCTCCTCAGTGAAAAAGATCAAGCTAAAGAAGTCTAAAATAGTTTCTATCATGATTATTTTTATGGTTGTTTACAGAAATAAAATATTAGTTCTGTCCGCTTTTCATCCCTTCCTTTGATATATAAACCAATGTGGCGCTCTGGAGAAACAACTATACCAGACTTATAAACCTTAAATCGTGTAATTTATAGAGGAATGGATGTGGCAATCTATCAGGTACTTTATAAACTTTAATAATAATAATTATAAAAACAGCGAAATAGAGCGAGTATTGAATTATATATTTAAAGAAAGCCATTCGTTCTTGGAACACAAGATGTTATGTCAATGATTCATTGCCCAATGATTTTCTAAATATATGAAACAAGCATCAACAGCGCTATTTTGTTCCATATATAGGAGTCATATTTTAAGAATGGCCTTGTTGATTTTAGTTTTGATATTTTTCCGCTATGTCGTGAAAATTTTTTACGTCCTTAATTTATTTATTGAAAACAAGTGAAAATGCTATGCCATATTCATTAAATTCAATACGTAATTGATATGGAATGTATGTATCTTTCTTGATGATCAAACATTTTGAAAATTCGTAGGAAATACAAAATAGGAGATCGACTTTCATTTAGGGGTTTGAATACTGCATAGAGAATGCGTAAACCCAAGTCTTTAACGTCTCCAGAACGCGAATGCATTCAATATTCATTGCTAATTCTAAGTTCAGTGGTGTTGTCAAGTTGGAGTCAGAATTGTTCAAGGTAAGATTTTATTATTATTATTATTATTTTTTTTTTTTTTGATAACTTAAGTCAATATTTTATTGAAAAATATCAAATATATAACGCATAATAATTCAGTAAATCTCGGTTATAACAAAGCCACTGGGACCTATGCTGTATCCCTCATTTTTTATATCCGTTATATCAATGTATAAGGAATTCTTTATGTAGTCGGGGATCCAACATAGCTTAGTTATATCCGTGAACATGCAATATCCATGTTCGTACTAAAAGAATTTTACTGTATAAGTTTAATTTATACATTTTTTATTTTGTTATTTTAAGCAAGGAAGATCCGAATAAATGCTGTATGGGTTATTGGTATGACCCCCACTTTAACAAATGTTTGAGTAAGTCAAGAAAATGAATTTTTTAGTATTTTAGATTATTATCTTCAAAAACATGCATGTACTCTGCATATATAATTTAAAGTAATCCTAATATTTGAGGAATGTCTTCGCTTCAGAATGTCCAGATGGGTACTACGGTTTGAATTGTACAATGGTCTGTCAATATCCCTACTTTGGAGAGCTCTGCAGATATCAATGTAACTGCACGTCAGCTTATTGTCATCCGACCAAAGGATGCAATCCCGAAGAATCAGGTAAGCAAAAGAAGAGCATTGAAATCTAATTATAAAAATAGCTGAAATCGAGAAAAATTTAAAAGATTGTTATTTTTAGGGGTTTTTTTAAATTGTAATTATAAACTTTTTACTTTGTTTTCAAAACACTTGAACGGCAAAATTTTGGTCAATAGACGAAAAAAATGAAAGAAAACATTTGATATTGTTGCAATATGTCTCTCATAATCGAAGATTTTGGAGTATTTAGTTTTTGTTCTGTCCGTCGGTCTGTCTATCAGTCAATCTTTCTGTTTTTCTGTTTATCCGCAAAACATTTATAATATTGTTGATAATATTTGAGTAGATGGAGCCATGGACTTTATATTTAAGAGTTGTATTTCTCATGAGAAGAACTTAATTTTATCTCCTGACCTTGGCCATAGAAGTTAACAGACTTTCATAAAAAAAAAACAATTTTTCACATTGCCATAAATTTTAAACAGTTGGTACTAGGGCTTTCTTACTTTAGATGTGTATTCATTGTATTGAGACCCTTCGATGGGTATTAATAATTTTTACCCTTTGACCTTGACCTCAGAGTTTGACCAACTTTTAAAGAACTTAAACATTTGGCTATGACTTTTAAACTGTTAGAATTAGGTCTCTTTTATTACACATATTTATTCCTAAATGTGACAAGGCATTCATTAGGATACCAAACATTTTAACCCTTTGATCTTGAACTTGCATTTGAAAAACTTAAAGCTCTGTCATACAGTGCAGAAACTAATTTTGTTACAATATCTATGCTTATTTGCATGCTTCCTTTGATTGCTGATTTAATGCCAGTAATCCTTAACCTGATGCTGTTTTAGAATTAGATCAATGCTACCGAAAGTGTTGCAACCACTATTGAAATAACCCTAATGTAGATTTTCCAAAGGGTCTGGAAAAGTTTTGGAAATCCATGGAATTCCAATCATTTCCAAACATAACTCGAACAGTATGTCTGGAAGTTTTTGGAATATTTTGGAATTTGAAAGAAAAATTGGACTTAAACTTTTTTGGCTTGGAAAGTAGTGGAATTCTTTGGAAAAAATGGTAAAAAGAGAAACTTAGCCATTTTCCGCGCTGGAAAACTATGGAAAATTACTTAGATTTTTTTTAAACTGTCGACTAAGTAAAGGTTATAGGCCAAAAACTGTCCATTCTGTGAGAAGAAAGAACTGTTGGAGGGCCGTTAGGCCCGACAATAGTTCTTTTTTCTCACAGAATGGACAGTTTGAGGCCTATAACCTACTTAAAACATTTACCCCATTGTGTTCATAATGTACTCTCTTAGAA